AGCATCCTTATAACCATTATTCTGAACTCTGTATCTGTTAGCTTGCTTGGATCTATTTCATTTAGTTCCTCTTCTAGAGATTTCTTCTGTTCTTTCCTTTGTGACATGTTTCTTTGCCTCCACATTTTGGCTGCTTCCAGGTGTTTGTTTCTATGTATTAGGTAGAGCTGCTATGTCTCCTGGAATTTGTAGAGTGGCTTTGTGTAGTAGGTGTCCTGTAGGGTCCAGTGGCTCAGCCTCCCCAGTCACCTGAGCTGGGCCTTCTAGGTGCTCCCCTGTGTGGGCTGTGTGCACTGTCCTGTTGTAGTTGAGCCTTGGTTGCTGTTGGCGTCATTGGGAGGAATTGACCCCCCAGCCAATCAGCTGTGAGAACCAGCTGCAACTACAGCCAGAGAGCTGCTGTTCTGGAGACACCCCTATGGAGCAGGATTTACTTCAGTGGAGCTTTGGTGTTCACCAAGTGGGCCCTCATGATGTGGGCAGGTTATAATCCAGCATGGTCGAGTCTGACCACCAGGTGCACTGTCTCTTCAGCCTCCTGGGAGGTGCAAAGTCAGCCTGTGCCAGTGCCTTGCCCAAGGCCACCCAGCATGAGCTACACAACAAACTATAGATGGCTGCTGNCAAAGTCAGCTTGTGCCAGTGCCTTGCCCAGGGCGACCCAGCATGTGCTACACAGCAAACCGTAGTTGGCTGTTACTTGTGCTGGGCTTGTCATTGTCCAGGAGAGGCCAAGCTATGAGCCAATGCAGGGTGCCACTAGTGCCAGGCCTGGGGCCACTTATCAAGCCCTAAGGGGCACACTGCTGCTTGTTTGAGAGATTTTAGGAAAGTCCTAAGCATGAGGCTCGANCCGGGAATCACGGGGCGGGGCCAAAGGTGAGAGTCAGGCGCTGGTGATTCAAATATGGCGCCTGCCTGCCGGCTGTGTGAGGGGAGGACTCGCCCAAGGAGCCATGGCCTCTGCCCGCTCTTCTGCCCGGGAGGAAGCCGCCCCTCCGCCTCTCGCCCGGATCTCAGGCAGGTTAGTTCCTCCCCGAGTGTCCCAGGTCCTTTCCGGCCGCTGCCCGGCGCTGGGCTCAGAGGGAGCGTCCGAGTGAGTCTGTGCCGGGCCCTTTAAGAGGAGCTGCTGGGGCTCCCGCAGCCTCCGCGACCCTCAGGGACAGTCCCCGCTGGTTTCACAGCCTGGAGTTGTGGGGACATCTCTTCCCGGCCCTGGAGCCCTGGGCTGGGGTCCTGCTGTGGGGCTGGGACCCCTCACTCCTCCGGGAAACCCCCACCGCCGAGATTCCCTCCTGGGTTTCAACCTTGGCCCCAGGTGTGGGCCCCCGGCCACCTCTCTGCGATTCAGCCCCGATCCTCCAGCGTCTCTGCCCCTCCTACGGTCTCGATGCTCCTTCAGTTCCCTGGTTGTGGGGCTTCTGTGCAGCCAGATCTCAGGAGGCTCTGAGTGACGGTGGTTCTGTATTTTAGTTGTAATTTTGTTGTGGTTGCGGGAGGCAGTGAGTGCAGCTGTTACCTACGCCGCCGTCTTGTATCTCCTCCCTCTCACAATTCTCTCCTCTGGCCTTCTGACCGGATGTGTAGCCAGACAGTGTCTGAGCAAGAGATAAGTGAGGGAGGGGGGATCAATGCTGGACTCCAGAGGGCAGCAGGCCCATCTCATCTGAGTGACTGGGACTGTCGGATGCTCAAATCGTGGGTTGAATGTCCTTCCTCAGATCCAAAGCAGTGCCACAGCCACAGGTCATGGAGATCTGATCTCTCCCTTGCCAATTTGCTCGATGGAGTCATCTAAGCCTACACACTAAGGGTCCAGTCTCCTCAGCCAAGGCAGGGGTCAGAGCTGCCCTGAGCGCACTAGGAGCTCCTTGCGGTGGGGACCCTTCCTCCTCCATCAAGTCAGGGTCTCACCAAGGAGGGGACCATCTCCCTCCCACATTCAGCCAGATGCCTGTCAGTGGCTCTGCACACAGTAGGTGCTCGATTGGTGGTGGGACCAACAATATTTATTACACCACTGGGTGTATTACACCACTGGGATGTGCTTATTAAGGTTCTCTGTTGAGTGGATGACTGGCGGAAAGATGGTGTGGGGTGGCCACCCTTCTGCTGAGGGGGACCAGAGAGAATCCACATGAGAGTGCGGAGGCCCCTAAGAGGCCTCCGTTTTCTTTTATTTTAAGCCATGGACTGTTTTGGCAGTTCTGTGAAGGCAATGAATAGACTCCTCACAATAAGGTATTTAAATACATAAAGTAACATTCACAGGCATTACAAATGAAACCAGTTATGATGAGAAAGTTATCAAAATATCTTTAAAACCCACGTGTCATTTAGGAATGCATATGCTTTTTTGTTAACACATGAAATAACTTCCGCTGGGGAGTTGCATGGCCACCAAAATCTGAGGTAGTGATGAGGTATCAGCCACACGGCTGTGTGATATAAAGGAATCTATGGTTTTTATTTAGAAAAAGTCACAGGTATTGTTTACACTACTGTGGGTCGTTATCTGCACTCCTCATTGAAGAAAAGGCTAACTTTCAGTTAGAGGTTAGTGAAAGTAAAGGTGCCCCCCCCCCATCCAAGTTCTTAAATAAACTGGCTCAGCGCTGTATTTACAGAGGCCGGGAGCAGGTGTGGCATGCTCTCACAGCTTTGTGAGGAGTGAACTGAAAAGGCAGGACTGGAGTTGCAGGGCCTCAGACCTCTGCTCCCATGCTCCTCTCTCAGCTGCCCCCCAGATGCAAGTGTGTGTGTGTGTGTGTTGCAGGGGGTATGCCTTTTCTACACAGATGCACCCTGAGGTGCCTCACACAGTGACTCATAGGTAGGAGGCTTCCCTAAATCTCAGTTGCATTCAGCTAGCCTCAGCTGCCAATCTGAGTACCACTCCTGATTTCTATAAACAGCTTTGTAAACAAAGTCAGAGTATTTTCCAGCTCCCATAAGGGCTCAGCTCATTGCAGGAGACTTGAGGCTCAAGAGATAGGCAGATTCCAAGCTGAGGCCCTGAAGAGACCCCTTCAAAAACTGGTCAAATAAATGACCCATCCATGTAATAAACATAGTCATTATCAGAGTAGTAGCTATACACTGGAATATTATGCAGCCACAAAAAGGAAAAGTTCTTTTTGAAAAAACTGACATGCAAGGATTTTCATGACATACTGCTCACTGAGAAAAAGTTGGCTGCAAAATGGTGTGAACAGTGTAATCCCACATATGCAAAGTTGTCTCTGCATCTAATTATCATGTAGATGTACAGGCTGGAAGGCTGTTCACCCAAAGATTGACAATAGTTTTCTTTGGATGTAATTATTTGGGGAATTTTAACTTTTTAAAAACTATGTTATTTTATTTTTATTGACTGATTTTAGAGAGAGAAAGGGGGGAGAGAGAGAGAGAGAGAGAGAGAGAGAGAAAGATCGACCCGTTCCATTAATTTTTATACATTCATTGGTTGCTTCTTGTATGTGCCCTGACCAGGGGATCTAACCTGCAATCCGGGCATATCAGGATGACATTCTAACCAACTGAGCTACCCAATCAGGACCTTTAATTTTCTTCTGTACAGATTTCTATGTTGTCTAAATTTTCTGAGAGCACGTATCTTCTTTACAAAACAGAAAAGGAAAGAAAAACAGAAAGAAAATAACACGCCCTCTCCAACCCCATCCCTACCTTCATCCCATTGTACACCCAGGCTACTAATCATGTCATTTGAGGGTAGGTGACATGCAGCCTCACGCTGGGGGAACCGTGGCCTTGCGTCTGCACCCTGAGCTGTGGGAGCTGGGTCCTGCTGGGCTCTGGCTAGGAGGCATCCTAAGTGAAGCTAAATCTTTTAATGGGGATGTGTCAGAGAACCCCTTTGCCCTTGAACTCCTTTACCCTCATGAAGCCAAGCAAGGGTCTCATTGTAACAGGCCACGCAAGGCCTTTCCTTTCAGAAGCATCACTTGAGGCCAATCTCTGGCCTGGCCAGGAGGGCAGAGGTCTGGGTGCTAGCTCCAACAGCCCAGGACCAGAAGAAAGGCACACACATGGGTGGGGGGGTCAGAGGACAGCTGGGCAAAGGGAGGGTCAGCTGAGCAGTTCACCTCCATGTGCCTGGTTGCCAGCCTGTGCTTGGCACACAGCAGAACTCAGTAAATACCTGAATGACTGGGGGACTTGGTGTATCTTTCTGCTCCGGAGCGCTGCTGATGGTGAAGGGGTGCCACTCGTAGTGAGCGATGGTGGGGATGTTCAGTTACAAGTAGTCACAGGCCTGTAGTTGAAAAGAGGGGGTCTCTTGATGAGGAGATGAGTCACCTGGGGAAAGAAGGAGGTCAGCATCATTCCTCTGCCATAAACCAGGCCAGCCTGGTGTGCGCTAGCTGCCAGGGCGAAGAGCAGCATGTGGAGGCAGCCAGGCGGAGTAGCTGGCTGCGGTGATTGTGCCAGTAGGCAGAGGTCAGTGGGCGAGGACAGTGCACGTGTCATTGGGTGGTGGGGGACTTCAGCCAGTGGGCAGCACTGCGAGAAAGGGGATCCACTCAGAATGACGTAGTGGGGCAGACTGGGGAGGAGAGGAATCCACGTGGGTTATGATGGGCACTGCCAGAATCTGAACCTAGAGACCCTAATCCCACTGCAGCCCACTAACTCTCTGGAGCCTTGTGGCAAGCAGATCAGCTTCCTTTTTTAAAATATATTTTATTGTTTTTGGAGAGAGGAAGGGAGAGGGAAAGAAAGACAGAAACCTCAATGATAAGAGAATCATTGATGTTTCCTGCTCGTCCTGCTTCCTGGACATCCCCTACTTGGGGCATGTGCCCTGACCAGGAATTGAACCATCATCTCCTGGATCATAGGTCAATGCTCAACCACTGAGCCACAGTGGCAGGGACAGATTAGCTTCCTTTGACAGTAGGAAACAGAGAGGGCAAGCAACCTGCTTCAATCACACAGCTATGTGGAGCTGGGATGGAACTGTGGTCTGTCTGATGTCACATCTGTGACTATTTTTATTACCTCTCCTTACTTCCCAACTGAACAAACAAACAAACCCAGCAATCAAAAAGGATGGAAGAATTTGAGCTCTGTTGTGGTAAATAACCCATAAGAAAGTTAATACACAAAACGAATGAACTACAAAATGGGTACTGTTCAGAGCTTGGGACAAACTTGGGTCTGTTACACTTTATTTATATTATTTCTCCACAGCCCTTATTACTTATTACTCTACTTTATGTGTTTTTTAATTGGTGTAAGTTCCGTCTCTTCATCTGGAATGCAGCCCCAGCAGGGCACTGCCCTTATTCAGAACAGTGCCTGGTACATAGCAGCTGCTCAACCAAGTTGAATACATAACTGTCTTTACTAATTGCTTGTGTGATCCTAGGCATGCTACTTCAGGTGAAACAGCTTTAATTTACTTTTGTAACTTTAATTCTTTTATAACTTTAATTTCCTTTTACAAATATACCAGTGCTGTAAAATTCACTGGTATATTTGTAAAAATGTCCAGCACATAGTAGGTGCTTGCTACTGTGAGTTGATTCTGAAGAGACACAGTGGAAAACGGAGGCATAACTATAGCTGTCCCCCGCGGAAAAGTGAGGGAGAGGGGGCCGAGCTGAGTCGGGTTGGGGAGGCGCTCGGGGCTGTGGCGGGAGAGCCCAGGCCACTCTTCGCACCTGGAGTCTGAATCGGCATGGAGACAGGGCCGTGCGTACCTGAGAGTCAGGTCCTCCGTGACACCGGGGAAGCGCTGCGGCGCATCTGGAAGGTGATGTCGCCCCTGCAGTCCTTACCCGCCGACTCTAAGAGACGCAGCGTCAGAGGGTCCAGCTTCTCACCCGACAGCGAGGTGGCGCTCTCGAGCAGGCAGGGCTGCAGCAGGGTGCGCAGCGTCAGCTTCCATGGAGCCATTGCCTGTCCCAAGAGGGGACTGAAGTGGGGGGGGTCTGCGCCGGGACCCCACTAAGTACCTGCAGACACCCTGCCTTGCTCAGTCATTGCGTAGTGAACTTTTCCTGTTCGCCTACCTCAATCTTCCTGCCAACCAATTCCCTTTCCGGGTATAGGCCAGACAGTCAAACCAGTGTGTCACTCTCAGCTCACAAACCCTCCATGGCTTCCTATTGCCAAGCTCAGCAGAGATAAACCCCTCCCCAAGCACGGAGAATCTTGGGCCTCGGTGCATGCCTTGCTGAAAAATCTGCAGCCTCCTCTTTAAGTACCGCTCAACATTTAAGACCAACTGTCCAGAAGATACACTTGCTTACATAATCTGTAGAGAGCTATGTGACCAGAGTTTCAATTATCCAGAGGCAAATTGTATGCGAGGTGATGGTGAGGGGAGGAGTTTCCTGATGTTTCCCAACTTGTAGCAAGCTCTGCTCATCCATGTTGTCCTAAGAGGCCACAGCTGGTCACTCAGGTCCAGTATATGGCCTTATGTGAATATGAGTGGCTAAAACTGATGTGAAAGGGAAGCCAAAACTATCAACTGAGATGAGATTTGGGGCTTTTTCTTTTCATATATATTTTCATTCTTCAAAATCAGCAGGACCCTTGATTAATGATTTCTTGGCCTGCTTTGGATATGACACACATGAAGCAACATGCTTCTGCCCCTTACTACCCGTGTGATGGTGAGCTGTAAGTCCTACATAGCAGTGAATGTTATTTTGCTCATCTTGAAAATGAGAATAATAAATCTTCCCTTTCAGAATTAATTATCTTCAAGGATGAGAGATAATTAATTATAAAGCAGTTAACGCAGTATCTGAAAGAAGGTGGTTGCATACAAATGGAAAGTCTTATTGGCTCTGTAATCATCATTTGGGCCAACGTGAAAGTCTGTAATCACATTGCAGAGTAGAATCTAACACATCACTCTCTAGCCACACCTCCTGTCCTCAGCTTTTCTAGTCAAGAGCCACCATGCAAGAGGCTTCAGATCACATCCAGAGGAGCAGTCCCTCCCCTAACCTCCTTCACACCCTCTTGTTCATCCAGCTCTATTCCTCCTCGGCCATTTGCAAATCCAGGGACTTCCTTCACAATTATTCTCATGCACACATTCTTCTTCTTTATCCCTCTGTCCTTCTATTCCACGGACCCTAAAAATATCCCATCCCTGGGTGAATCCAACCACCTGTTTTCTCCTTCCTTGTACCAGGGCAGCTAAGTGAACATTGCTGAAGAAAATCACCCGGGAGGGCAGGAATTGTTTGATCCCCAGCCACAGCAAGGCTTGCAACTTGCCCACAGTCCTCTCCTGCTCCTCTGGTAAAGTCATTCTCCCCCTGTCTGCAAGGACCACTTCTTACCTCCATGCCCATCCAATCACTCCTTCCCTGGCTCTCAGTGAAAGCTGGAGCCTTTGGAAGGGAATGCCCTCTAGTTCTTGCTGTAAAACTACAAACCTCCTTATATCTGCCCTGCCTTGTCTTCCTCCCCATCTCTGTCTGCAAAAGAAGGTGAGCGTGTTGCAGGCCTGTGTTCCCCCGGTTACAGGCCAACCTCTCCATCTGAGGTTGTCGAAAAACCTCAGGTGTGAGCAAAGCTTGGTGGTCAGAAAGCAATCAGTGAAGTGGGCCCCATGATGACTGGAGTGGGATCTGAGGAAGATACCCAGGAAGCAGCATGGTCAACTGCCCATGGAGTCAACTGGGGAAATGGGTTCCAGGAATGAGGCCTGGCTAGATTGAGTCAGGTGGGGATGAGAGAGAGAGAAACCCCACAGGCCAGAGAGCCTTGCCCAGCAGCAGGTCTGCAGGTAGGCTGAGCTTTTTAGGAGGGAAATCCAGCCCTGTGACTGCCCTGCTCAGCACTCTTCGATGGTTTCCCGTTGCTCATTGTACTGAGACTCCAAACCATGGCTTCCGGGGCCTGCACAGTCTGCCTCACCCACTATTCCAGTCTCATTGGATGCCCCTTTCCCATTTCAGTCTCTTTTCTCCTGATTATTCCAGCCCTTCAGAGACCCTTTAAGCTACAAAGTCACCAAAGATGTAAAAACCAGTATATTCATTGCAGTGTAATTTATAATGCCCCAGGGCAAAGAGAAGGGGGAGGGACAACGGAATCCTCCATTTTGGTAATAGGGTTTGAATAAATAATAATAAATAACAGTTGATACCTATAAAGAGTGTATCCTGTGCTAGGTATTGCTCGGAGTTTAGCTAAATTAACTAATTTAATCCTCAGATCAATCTCATGAGTATGTACTATTATTATGATCATTATTCTCATGTGATAGGTGAAGAAATTGAGGCACAGAGAAGTGAAGTAACTTGCCCAAGGACACATGATTAGTAACTGGTGGAGCTGAAATTTGAACCTAAGTAAGCTGGCCTCAGAGTCAGAGATCTTAACTACTAGGCTACATTACATGGAACATAGGACCACATACGTACAATGGGATATGGAAAATGATGCTATAACTACATTGAGTTACCACTTCACACCCACCAGGATGGCTTTTATAAAAAAACTGAAAATAAAAGAATGCTGACAAGGCCGTGGAGAAATTGAAACCTTGTGCATTGCTGGTGGGAATGTAAAATGTTACAACTGCTGTAGAAAAGAGTATGGTTTCCTCAAAAAATTAAAAATAGAACTTGCATAGGATCCAGCAATTCCACCTCTGGGTATATGCCAAAAGAACTCACATCTGAGTCTCATGTCCATTGCGCCACTATTCACAACACTCAGGAGGTAAAATCAACCCAAGCGTCTATTGGTGGGTGAATGAATAAACAAAATGTGGCATATACATCAATGGAATATCAGCCTTTTAAAATATGGAATCTCGTCACCTAGTACAACAAGGATAAACCTTGAAAATGTTATGCTAAGTGAATAAGCCAATCATAAAATAGCAAATATTATGTGATTCCACTTATATGAGATACCTATAATAGCCAAATTTTTAAATACAGAAAGTAGAATGGTTTCCAAGGACTGCATGAAGGGAGAATGAGAGTTAATGTATAATAGGTACTGGGTTCAGTTTGGAAAAATGAAAAGTTCTGGAGATGGTGGCAATGGTTGCACAACAGTGTGAATGTAGTTAATGCTGCTGAACTGTATACTTAATATGGTTGAGGTGGTAAATTCAATGTCATATTTACTACAATAAAAAATGATGTTATAAAGCAATATATTCTTACATGAGTGAATGTTCCTATTGTTTAGTGATAAAAGTATCCTGTATAGTATAACCCTGTTTAGTTGAAAAAATGTGTGTGGTGTGTATATGTATGTGTGTGAGTGTGTGATCAGTTAGAAGACAGTAGAGAAAAATGTTATGAATAATTTTTGGTTTCTTCTTTAAACCATTTTGTATTGTCTAAAATGTTCACAGTGGGCTTGTTTTATTATTGTTATAAGGAAAAAACAGCAAAGAGATTTTTTTTCCCCAAACATGGAAAAAGACAAAGGAAAGCTCTGTTTTCAGGTGTGTTGAATCAAGGGCTTTTGTTTCCTGAGCCAGAACCTCCTCTTCTCCCCCACTCCCCACAAAAGGAGGTAGGGACCAGACAGAAAGATGGGGGAGGGGTGCACAGAGGAACCATCAGCCTCACCTGCAGAAAACAGCCCTGTGTTGGGCACAGCTCTGAGATGGGCTGGCCCCCTTTGTTCCCTCCCACTGAGTCCACCACCCCCCGCCCTACAAAGAGGCCTTCCCATCGACGTCATACACCTGGAAGAGGAATTTGAGTTTGTCAATGTGGTTGCCATAGATGAGCAGGGTCAGTGCCCTCTTGCAGCTCCTGGAGGGCGATGGTGCCACTTCCATCCGAGTCAAACAGGGCGAAGAATCGCTCAGCAAAGAAAGACTGTGGCCACAGAGGGGCGGAGACAGGCACATGTGTGAACACAGGGCTTGGGCTTTGAATTCATTCACTGTGTGTGTGTGTGCATACCATGGGTAATGGAATTCAAGCAGGACTCAGTTTACATCTGCCCATGAGGCCACACCAGGGTGCAGTGTCCATGGCCCATTGCCTGCTGAGAGCAAGTTTGAGCTCCAATGGAAGGACTGTTCAGAGCCCTGCAGTGAGGATGGATTTGTGCCGGGGCTCAGGCCCCCTTCTGGTTCCTGGGACTGGTCATTTGTGTGGTCTCTCTGTCCCTACATGCCATCATCCCCATCAGCCTTGCAGTTCAGACCTCTGGTGGCCCCTTATTCAACATGGAGAGAGGGTCAGACATAGGGTCCTCCTGCAGGCTCTCCCAGGTCTTTTCCATCCCTTTTGGGGTTACCTCAAGGGATAAGTGAACCCAGGAAGGACTTGTAGAGTGGATGTCACTTGTCTTTTCTTTTACTCGTTTAGGCTGCCTACAGCCTACACGTAAGGCTTGTTCTTAAGTGTCAATTCACTTCATTCATTCATTCATTCATTCATTCATTCATTCATTCTGATCATGGCCTGCATAGCCCTTGCTTGCCAGGCCTGGTGTTAGGAGCTGGAAAGGCAGATATTAAGAAGACGGGCTGGATCAGTGTCCCAGCTATGCCATGTCCTGGATGCTTCCCTCGAGGCAGGGAGAGAAGCCTGCAGGGCTTTTGTGTCTGACCTAAAGAAACCAGGAGTTCACCTGAAGCGTGAAGTCAGTTGTGGACAGTCGAGCCTGCCTTGGCTTTACTTTTTCCCCCCTGGATCCTTGAGCAATGCCTTTATCACTCTCTACCATCCTGAATGGCTTTTACCTTAAAACACTTTACAGCCTCCTGTTATGATGGTAATGTATTATTAACCAGGTCTTTCTTCCTTCCCCATAATTACAATGGAAGAAGGCAGAGCATTTACAGTTCTTTGCAGTATCTCAACTACCAGCTAGTGAGGGATCCTTCAATCCAAAAAGGGGAATTCAAATGCTCATTGGCTCACTCTTATCAAGGACATAGGCCACCACCAGATGTCAGCTCAGGGGACGATTGGGGAGAAGTTGGCATTTGCAGGCTCACTCCTGCTGTTTCTCTACTAGTGCCGCCACTGTTTGTCAGGCACACAGGCTGTTATGGGGATGGGCAGAGGACCTACAAAACCAAGAGCACTGAGAATGGTGCGGCAGTGAGAAAAGCTCATTTCCTGGTAGGAGGCTTACATTATAGCATCAACTCCACCCCTGAGGCTAGTGGAAATTGTGAGGGCAAATCAGTGATATTTCTTAAGATTTGACAAGCTACTGAATTCCAACTTTAAGTGTTGTTTTGAAGATCGCATGAGGCATGACCACCAAGAGGGATGGAAGGCCCCAGTAACAGAGACAGAAGCACCTTCCGATTCTGCTCAGAAGTGGGGACTCGAGCCTGGAGGAAAGCCAGAGAACTGGGAGGGGACCTTTCCTCCTTGTGAGGCACTGTGTCCTGGGAACCAGATTGCTCTACCTCTGTAAATACAGTCCCCACTTATGGAGTGACACTTGCCTCTTTCACATTTAGGGCTGCTTTGAATTCTTGCAGGTTGATCACCCGGTCTTCTCCAGCAATGGTCTCAAACTGGTGTGTCACCCACTGAGGTCACTTGGCATCCTCCTTGGCACTCATGGTGCTGAGAGAAAAAGGAGGCAGGTTTATGAGGTTTGGGATGGCTTAGGGCTTACAGTGGTCCCAGGATCTCTGCCTTCCTCTAACTAGGGCCATGGGCCTCCCATGGGGTTGAATCAGCTTTGGCCATGGAAGAGGAGCTTCCCCACAGGGGTTGCTCTATGTCTTTAAAACCCTGACCCTTCCATCTAGTATCAATGGCCCAGGCTTGTGTCTCTTTAGGTTCTGGAATGATAGGGCCCCAGTGAGATGAACTTCAGACTGTAGGCATAAGGTGGGAGACTAGAACACTCCTGGAGTGCTGTTACCATGACGACAATGACTTTCCCACTCACATTTACACAACTCTCTACTGTTTTCCAAATACTTCCCACCCACTACTCATTTTGGTCTCTGTGACAGTCTGGTGGACAACAACATTTTCTAAGGAGCAAATAGGCTCAGAGCAGTTGAGTAATTCAGCAAAATTTATTCAGCAGGTTAGAGACAGAGCTCATATCCAAGGCCAGTGTTTTTCCCGTCATGCCCCAGAGCCTCTACTCTCTGTTTGAACACTTCTAATACAAGCCGCTCCAGGACTCAGACCTCGGGTCTTGACTCTCCAGGTCCAGGGCATCTTCTACAATACCCCAAAGGTACCAGCCATCTAAAACCCTCACAGATGAGCTAGCTATCCAGTGATCTGAACAGAGGTTAGTGATGAAGTGAGGACATCAGGACCCAGCAAACCAAAATGAGGTAGTAAGTGAGGATTTATAGCATCCTGTTGCTATAAATTTTCTTCTGAGAGAATGGCTTTGTCTATATCCCATGAGTTCAGTATAACCTTAAGTGATTTAGCCACAATCGATCCTCATTAGTTGCAGATTCTGTATTTGTGAATTCACCTACTTGCTAAAATTTATTTGTAACCCCCAAATCAATACTTGCGACACTTTCGCGGTCATCGTGGACAGAGCAAAGCAGCGATAAATTTGAGTCCCCAAATGCACACCTTCCCAGCTGAAGTTAAACAAGGCGACATTCTGCCATCTTGTTTCACCTCTCATGCTGTGAGCGAATGTCCTTTTCATGATCTATCTAGTACTGCATGTTTCACATTTTTGTGCTTTCTGTTGGTGATTTTGTGCTTTTATTTTTTAAATACTTCTTTTACAGATTTTTAGAGAGAGAGGAAGGGAGAGGGAGAGTGGAGCTGCGAACCTACAACATTTTGTTGCACAGGACGACGCCCAACCAACTGAGCCACAAGGCCAGAGAGTGATTTCGCTCTTGAAAATAGCACCCTAGAGTAGTGCTGAAGTGGGGCCTAGTGTCCCTAAATGCAAAAAGCTTGTGATGTGTCTTGTGGAGAAAACACGTGTTAGATAAGCTTTGTTCAGACGTGAGTTCTAGTGCTGTTGACCGTAGGTTCTATATTAATGATTCAACAATTTATATTTTTAAAGGAGTCTTTAAACAGAAACGCATAAAATAAGGTTATGTATTGATTGTTTGATGAAAAATTTCTGCCCAGATGGTGGCAAGAACCAAAGCCTGTATTTTCCCTAGCAGTCATTATTCAAAAATTTGTAATTCACTGTTTGCAGTGACTTTATAGTACATAACTGACATGAATTACAAGGACTGACTGGACTTGTCTGGAGCACGTGTCTAGATTGGATACCAGGTTCGGTAGTGCACGATTTCTGGTCCCAGTTGACTTGAACTTTGTGAGGTTCAGCCTTACAGGCTCTTGGGAGATAAGGCCAAGTCTTAAGCCTTGGTCTTTCAACAATGAATGTTCTTAGCTATGAAAATGAGAAATTTTACAAGTGACTAAACAAAGACCCTGAGAGGTTGGTTCCCTGTTCAAAAGAACATAGCTTGCAAATGGCAGACCCAGACTCATAAATTCCAGGGACCCAAAGCTTAGGAGTTCCCTCTATCAGAACTGTTGCAATTGCATGAGAAGTGCCAATTTAAAAAGGAGCCACTTTGGGCTAAACAATTAGAAAGAGTTCTTATTTCCCTCTGACTGGTAGGAGACCAGGCTGGGTGACCAAAGAAGGGGCTTCTGGTGTTGCCACCACAACAACCTAGATTATTGTTAAATTTTTAACTATCCCATGTTTTCCTCCAGTACTTTTTTTCCTAAAATGAAAATGGCTTCATTTGTTGCAGCTAACTTAAACATACAGAAAAATAAAATTGATTTAAAAAAAGAATTAACTGTATTTATAAGTAAAGATTAAAAATAAATGAGCTAACTTCCACTTCAGGAAGTAAAAAAAGAAAAAAATACACATATACACAAATAAAGGGATAAACTAATAAAAAAAACAGAAAACTCAAAAAATGATCAAAGTGATAAGTTTATTTTGATTATGGTGATGGCTTTACAGATATATCTACATGTATAAACTCATTAAATTGTTAATTTTAAATATGCAGCTTATTGTACATTAATTATGCTTCAATATAGTGGGGAAAAAAGTTGGTTCTTTGAAAAGACTAAATAGAAAATCAGGATTAAAGAAAAAAAATGAAAAAAATACATTATTATTGACAAAGATAACATAACTCCAGAAAATGGAGGGCTATACAAATGTAAAAGTATCAAGTACAAATGTTTGGTGAACTTAGAGAAATGAACTAATTTCAAGAAGTAACAACCTGAACCGAGCAATAATCATTCAAGAAATTAGACAGGCAGTTAAATGTCAACCACTTAAAATACTGTTAAGCCCACCTTGTTTTTATAGCTGAGTTCTATCTAATTTTCAAAGAATAAGTCCAAAATCAAACTATCTCAGAATGTAGAAAATAATGATAAGATTTCTAACTTATTTTACAAAACTAGCAAACCAAATCCCCATGAAGATAGTATACAAAAAAATTCTAGACAAATTTAACTTACAGAGATGCAAAACTCAAACTAAAATATAACCAACCTAAATCCTGAAGTCAAATTTAAAAAATAATAATCCTTCATCAGGAAAAGCTTAGTCTAGTAATACAAGGATATGAGTCACTATTAAGAAATCTATCAACAGTCCTCTGCAGCCCAACAGTGCAGCCTGCTAAAGAATAGTGGTCCCCCCACTCCCATCCCCCCCAAAAAAGGAAAAGATTAAAAAAAAATAGCGGTCCCCAAGCTCCCTGATGGGTGCCTGTCAGAAACAGGGAGAGATTGCTAAAATGCAACTTTGGGGTGGGACCCAATAATCTGCACATTTAACCAACACCCTGGATGTTTGTGACCCATCACGGGCGGTCCAGGCTCATACCCGGAAAAATGCTGCCTTAAGGGTTAATCAGCCCCACTTTTTTCACCTCTCAGGACCCCGCAGGAAGGTAGTCCACAAAGCAGAGAGAACTCTGGAAAATCAGCGGCATGCAAGTGCTAATGCCGGGAGGGTGGAGATGGGTATGTGGTGTTCAGTTCCCTCTTCTCAGGAATACGAGTGCGTCAGCCTGCAGAACGAGAAAGGGACTCTGGGAAGGGGGTGGGGGAGAGACTGGGACAGCTGGCAACAGGTAGGGGTGAGGGCATGGGGGGGAGGAGGCAGCCCCGAGGGACAAGAAGCCTGACGGGAGCTGGGCATCTTCAGAGCCAAGAGTTCCAGGGAACAATGAGTTCCCAGGGGCCAGAACTGTCCCCAAGAGACCAGGATTTTAGGTCCAGCCTTGCTTCCCGCCGAGTAACTCACCCCACTGCACGATAGTTTCCTCATCTACCAAGTGTGACGAGCGTCCCTCCAACCAAGGGCTGCCCTGAAGACCCAGTGAGATGCATTCAGCAAAGTGCAGCTGGCAAGCACTGTACAAATGCTAGCTCTTGTTATTAGTCTGGCATGGCCAATTCTTTTATTTTACAGATGAGAAAACAGGCCTAGAGGGAACTGGTGACTTACCCAAGACTGCACAGCTTGCTAGTAACCAGGCAAGAGCAGAGCTCAGGTTTCCTGACTTCTGTCCCAGGTAGACACAGTCATCCTTTGTAGATCCACCAAAAGGCAAAGAACCCTTGCCTTTCCCTCTTCCCTGGCATGGAAAGCTTGACAAATGAACCATTCACCCTCTGCAGCCTTCAGGGTCTGGCTGGGCTGCGTCGCTTGGCAGGCTCATCCTTTCTCCTGTCTTCTAGACCACAAGTTCCAGAGAAGCTGTTGTCCATATAGCAGCCTGGGTGGTAGAGCCCAAAGCTCACTTCTCCCCAACTCCTCCATTTCCCGACTTTCCTAAATAGCTTGTCACAGACACATCCCCTCTGCCATTCATGGGATTGCTGGTGGTTGGCTTGGTCCAGAGAAATTCCAGTAAGGAAACCTGGTGCAGGGGTGGGGCAAGAATTTCATGACAATGTTGGTTGTCTTTCTTTTGGCCCAGTTTCTTTCACTTTCTCTCCCTCGAGGAGAGAGGGCATGTAAGAGATCTAGAAATGCACCCTGAAAAAAATCACCAACTGCTTGGTGCCAACAAGCTCCGTGAGACTTCACTGATCACATTAACATCAGTTACCAGCAAGAATGTTGAGGTACTTACTCTGAGCTGAGAACTGTGCTAAGGACTTTACATATATTGCTCAATTTACTAAACAACAAAGACATGCTGATGGGCATCAACATCATCATTCTACAGACGAGGAGCGGGTAGCTCAGGGGGTGAGGTAACAGGTCCAGGTGGCTTAGCAGGAATTCAACCCATGTTGGAATGACTCTGGAGACTGCGTTTAACTATGCAGGGAGCTAAACTCAGCCACAGTGTACTGTGTAAAAATATATTGGAACAGCCATGTGTAGAGGTTTTCGGTCCAAGGAACCTGGGAAAGAAAGAAGGTCTGCAAGCTCTGTTTGTTAAAAATCTAGGAGAAATTATACAATTACTTAGATAAGGCCACCTTGCAATTAAAATTCAAAGTGCTTTTCATTATTTGTCCTGCCTGGTAACAGATCAGCTCAGGCTGACAACCCTGGACATCTGTTGAAGATTAGGACCTCCTACTGGTGATTTTAGAT